GTCCTGATGGAACCCTAAGCGCCTGAGTTTAAGTTCACCACACACGTTACTGAAGCTCACTGGGCTTTCCCTTCCTCCTGTTGGATGGGAACAGTAACACTGACTTCGGGGATTTCAGATGCTTACAAGCGCCTGACACGTGCACGCGTACCCAGTGCTGCTTACCAGCGCGTAGCTCGTCCACGCCAGGTTCTTAGAAGAGAACACAAGTGCCCATGGTAGGAGGGTGCTCACGCTTCATCGTCCACCGGAAGGCAGCCAGGTTCCCTACTACCACCACGTGGGCTGGTCACGGGCCAGGCGGACCCGTCGGGAGGGCAAGTCCTTTGCAGACTTTGACTCAGTCTGGGGGCTTTCAGGTTAGCGTCTCCTCTGGCAAGTTTTCTATTTGTGCTGGGGTGGAACCTGGTTTCAAATGCGTGCATTACCACGGAAGCTACGTATCCAGCAAGCATAGTAAGAAAACTGATCACTCTTAAAAATGGATCATGCTTTTGGTATCCTGTCTAAGAACTTTTAGGCTAACCACAAGTCACAAAGATTCACATTTTAATTTTTGTAGATGAATTCTTATCCAAATCACTTGCAAAATGTCTGCCTGTTGATGCTGGTCTATAATGATTTTACGTATTTTATCTCATAAAATGTCTTCACTCACATTACTGGTATTTCCAAGCATAACTGAATATATTCTTCACTCAGAAGGCATTTGTATGGGGCCAGAGAGATAGCTCAGTAGAATAGGCACTTGCCTGGCAAGCACTAGGTCCTGAGTTCAATCCCCAGTTCTGCCAAAAAAAATTAAAAAAAAAGGCTTTTGTAGAATTCTATCACCTTTTTCTCTTGCCATTTCCTAGCATACCATTGTCAGTCACCTTTAGCTGAAAGGCAGAATTTGCAGCTTATATAGGGACATGGATTTTGATACAGGAAAAACGTTGTTGTACATGTTGGTGAGGCTTGAAAATTACTCAGACTAGTTTTGGACAAGATCTGCTGCAAACGTTGTGGATCTCTTCCGTGTTGTTTGACAAGGTCTTGCTATGTCATTCACGCGGCCCTCACTCACAGCGATCCTCCTGCCTTGGGCTCCCAAATGCTGGCTGGCACTGCAGGTGTGCCCACCATGCCTGACAAATTTTGAGGATCTCATGTGAACTTTCTTTTTTCTCTTGAGAGACAAGATTTTATGTAGCTCACTACTCAGGCCAGCCTTGAATGTGACTGTCCCGCCTCAGCCTCCTTAGCAATGGATTACAGGTGTTCACATCCAGCTTCACTTTACTGTAACTTCTGACAGCACAAGAACCATATAAAAAGCAGCCTCATACTGCTTGTAATTCAAATATTGGTCATCACACATGATTTTACATGCTGGGTATCTGTAATCCCAGCACTGGGAGGCTGAAGCAGGTGAATCCAAACTTCAAGCCCAGGCAGGGCAATTTAGCAAGATCCCGTCATGAACACACATACACGCGCATGTGTACACACCCACCCACCCACCCAGGGGACAAAGCTCAGTGTGAACACTCTGGATTCAATCTCTAGTAAAGGAAGATGGGAAAAAAAAAAAAAAAAAAGACTGAGTTTCTATTCTGACTGGTGCCGACTTGTATGAGGATTCTGCTCATTCAGAAACTCTGAATCTTGGCTCTAAATGCAGTTTCAATAAAACCTCGTGACTACTCAACTATCCAACTGCCTTAGACTTTTACAAGCAATCTGTCCAGTGAAGCTTTTCTGCTAAGCACATCTTATAAAGGCAGTTGGGGCTTCTTGGCAGATTCTAGTTTAGAAGATAATTCTTGGGGGCTGGTGAGATGGCTCAGTGGTCTAAAGCACCTACTTAGAACAAGCTTAGCTAAAGCACAGGGACTGAGGTTCAATTCCCAGCACCACATGCCAGCCAGCCCCGCCCCCTGGTGGGCTGAGCTGGCCACACACACACACACACACACATAAATAAATAGATTAAAAAAAAAAAAAAAGATAATTCTTTTCAGCCCTGAAAGTGCTTTTGAACCTAGTTGCTCCACATAGATTACTGCTAAGAGATTAAATCTTCAGACATTTCTAGGGGGACGGGCTGTTTCAATCTGAGACTGAGGAACTTTCCAGAATGTCTGACTTCTACTTTTAAAACCAGAAAAGTTCTGGGCAAACTGGGATGAGCAGGTCATTCCATCACTGGGATGGCCTTAACTCCGGAATCTCAACAGAGTACTGGTTAACACTAGTTAACTCCTTCAGAGCCAATGAAAAACACTTACAATCATTTGCCTTATTTTACAACTACTGACGTAGTTCCTTAACTCTTCAACCGAGTACCTTAATTTAAAGCTAATGCTCATCTACGTTTTTCTCAGGATATGCATTTCTCTGGCTGTTGCAATCAATCACAACTACTTTCCTTGCCTGGCAAACAAGCCACTCCTAAGCCTTAACTTACAACTCAAGCAGCTAGCTACTTCAGCTGTCAGGAATGGTGTGTGCACCTGCAACCCGTTACACTCGGAGGAGGCAGGAGTGTTACTGTGAGTTGGAGACCAGCCGAATTACAGCTTGTCTCGAAACTCAGCTACCCACGTTAGGCAGCTAGCTCTTCCTCCTCGTGGTTGGGAGCTGTGGGTGAGCGGACTGGTGTGTCCACATGCGTTTTTCTAGCACGGGTGGAGCCACTGCAGAATAAACAGTGTTGTACCCAGTTCGGTAATGACACACATCATGCTCACGGCTCCCCGGCGTGACAGCTGATGGCTCCAACTGGATCAAGCACCATCCCATCTGCAAAGTGCACGTTGAGTGTCTGGGTGGCTTCACAGGTGTGCCCTGGAATCTTTTTTCTGGAACTGGGGATTGAACTCAGGTCCTTGCTTGCCAGGGATGCGCTTAGTCTACGGAGCCACCTCCCCACCCCGCCGACCCCCGCCACATCCTTCTATTGTGGTTTCCACCTTGGAGGCAGCAGAACTGATTGTAACTTCAGACTGAGTAAAAGCAAGCCTCTTCAAGCTGTGGGCGTTGGGTACTATGCTGAGCAGTACACAACACATATCACACAAGTGTGCCTAGACACCAACACTGCAGTGTGCGCGTACCTGACGGCAGCACTAAGCAGAAAGAACCACGTATGGTGTGGTGTGTCACAGCTGAGCTCTCTCAGCAGGAGGCCAGACAGTGAATAAGCAGGTGTGTGGGCAGCAGCCTTCAGGAAAAATCTGTGACTCATCGTTCTTCATGGAGAAACCAAACAGCTGGTTACTTGGCCTGTGGGCCAGTTTTTAGTCACGTGTCCTACAGGCTGGCCTGTAAGTTAGGTGGCTTTCAGCCATGTGATGACTTGTGCCTACTAGAAGTGGAGGTGACCTCATGGTGGACAATGGCGGCAGCACTTCACAGCACAGCCATCACCCAGAAGACAGCTGCCTGTCTGAAGACAGCCTCTGATTATTAAAGTGAGGTTTGGGAACTTACACTATCCTAATTTTCCGTATTTCTCTACAATTGCCAGTCACAGTAAACAACTATACGTGACCATTCTGTACTAAATAATACCAGTGACAGAAACCCATTAAATGTCAGATTTGTCCATTTATTTATACAAATTCATTCACTCACTTTTTGTGGTACTGGAAACTGAACCCTGACCTTCAAACTGGGCTATATTCCCAGCTTTTTATTTGGAGGCAGGGCCTTGCTAAGTTGCCTGGGCTGGGCTCTTAGTTTACAGTCTTCCTGCCTCGGCTTCCCAGAGTGCTGGGATTCCAGGCCAGTGTGCCGGCATGCCTGGCCAAGACACTTAAGCAAACTTCGGCATTTTACCCAGTAATTTCCCACTCCATCTTAAACACCGCTCCAGCCAAACCTGGCCAGTGGATTCCCTTTTTGTCCTCTAGTCTTTGGTCAATATATACCTGTATTCACTTATAAAAACAAGGCACAGGAATAGTATTCTATCATTCCACAGCATATTTTTACAGAGCTCTTTCCATTTAAAATGCCTTTTTAGGCTGGGGGTGCTGCAGGTTGCAGAGGGCTTGTCCAGCGTGTGCAAGGCCCTGGGTTCTACCAACCGCAGACCAAAACTAAAAGCATTTTTGTGTAGCTCTGGTCACAGACGGCTTACTGAAAATTCTTCAGAAATGCTTTATTGGCTGAGTGGCTTCTACTCCACATTGCAACCTTTCTCCTACTGAACCTGAAAGTCACAGCTACGCCACTTGGGTGTTTTTCCTGAAGTTGAAACAGTATTAAAAAAGGAATGCTGTTTATCATTTATTCAAATAAAAGCTGAAATTCTGTGTCCAGCATGATTCTATACCCGTCTGCTCTTCGTATTCCCAGAAATAGATTCGCATTAGTTTCCACATTTTGCACCTGAACACCTGCTCCGGTACTTCATCAGATCACAGATGTAACAAACACTGATGAGAAACTGTGTGATGGTGATGGTGTCTTCTGACAAACCTGGCTTAGCAAATACAAAGCTTGCTTCAGGGCATGCGAAATTTACAAGGGAGGAGGAGATCTTTTTTTTTTCCAAGGCTTCTAAATCCTCCCTCTGTACAAATCATTGTAGAAAAAGTTCACTTGTTGATTGCTACATCTTTAAATGCGATTCCACAATGACAGCGAGTAATCATATATCCATTCTAGCCCCCCAGAAACTAGTGTCACACTGGTTAAAGGTGTCATTTCAGACCTGCATGAACACTTGATTGCCTTCACACTCACCTACAGGACTTCATCCGCCAGAAGGGAAAAGTACCTTTTAGGGTTCAAATATACTCATCAACCATGCGGAAGGTCAAGCAATCTTTATTTGCTGGTGGCAAAAGGTCACAACGCTTGAGTACTTAAGCCTAGAGTTAACAGTGACTTTTATGCAGGGTAAACCAAGGGGGGCTAGAAAGAATACGAACAGAAAAATGGAGGACCCGGACAAGGGCACTGTGAGCCCAACCACTGCAAGCTGTGGTGTACCCCAGAATCTCAGCGAGAGCAGACGAGCCGAAATGATTGACTGCTTTCCTCACCAACCTTGAACAACCAGTACATTTTTCCTCTGAAAGTCTTGCTATTGGTTGAACTGGTTTGTCCAGCACAACGCAGCAGTCATTCTTACAACAAATCACATTACTGGTAAGATACGGTGCACACAACACATTCAGAATCACAGTTTGCTCTTTCTTCGCCTTGGTCTTTTCTTCCCTGAACGAGTGGGTGTTGCAGTCTCTTGTATCTCTTTTACACTGGACACAGGCTGTTTGAAGACTATCTCATCATCTTTATCATCATTCATTTCAGCAACTTCAGATTTTCGTTTCTCCAAAAATGCTGGTGAACAAACTGGTGTGGCGCTCTGGAATCAACCAGCAGAGGAATACAATGCACAAATACGGTACAATATTAGGAATGACCTTACAGTGGTCCCTCATTATAGAGGTTCTGTTTCAGACACCTCCACAATAAGTGAAAATCAGCAAAGTAACGAGATTTTAGTATTTATATACATTTTGAGGCTTTATAAACCCTTCCCACACTCTTATAAACCTTTCCAACTTGTAAAAATCCTTCTAATGTTAACCATTTTCTTTTTTTTAAATAACCTTTTTAAAAAATTTATTTGGTACAGGGTCTGATAGCCAAATCTTGGAAATAACCAACATGCCCGTCACATGAGGAATGGTTGAAAAAGATGTGGTAATTTTATACACTGGAGTATTACTCAGCTATAAAGAATGATAAACTTGAAGCATTTATACTTAAGTGAATCCTACCTGAAGATATACTCATAAGTGAAATAAACCAGACACACGTGTAAATATCATAGTTTCCCTAGTATAAGAACTCAAAAGGAGAAATACAAATAGAAAGGTATAATACAAGTAAAAGGAAAGCAGGAACTCAAGGACTAACTAATTAAGAGAGGGAAAGGAGAAGAGCTAGGAAACATGACAGTGGCAAGCCACACAGTTATATGTAGAAGATGGGCAAGGCAATGATCCTGAGAATCTTCAGAAGATTTTTGAATCTAGCAGTTAATTAGAATGACTCTCACCCTGACTAACTATATATACAGACACCTGTGAACTAAGCAACTGCACTGAAGATGGTAATCTGTAATAGCAGGTTCATGCTTGGAGTGCCTGTCATTCTGGTCTTCTGAATATGGGCTGCTTGTCATGACACGCCAGTTGCTGCTGTGCTGTCTCTCGGGTAGATGATTGTTCAAAAAGAAAGGGGTGATGAATGAAGGCAGGAGACAGCAAAAGGAATGTTGCGGGACTGTCCTGCTACAAGGCCGTATATGGTTAGATTTCTGGACTTATGTGTAAATATAAGAATTATATGATTGTGCCTATTTTTTAATTATATTTTAATTTTTAAAATTTTTTTCATCATATTTGTAGGGACTTAAAGTTTAATATATCAATGCCTGATGAAAAATACCTGTTCCATGTTATGCCTAAGATGTCTGATATGCAGACAGATAGTGAGGTTAAGCTTAACAGCCTAAGTTGTATGGTAATAACAATAAGCTTCTCTTCTGGAGGGTTAACAATCTAAGTTTGCAGACCAAAAATTAGAGAAAAAGGAGGGCTGCAAGGAAAGCCAACAGGACATATAAGAACTTGTACTGTAATGACATGTATCTCAGTTGTGTCCCAAATTTTCTGATCAAGATTATGGGGACAAAGAGGAAAGTGACTGATGATGTAGAGTGTGCCTAAGGGGAGTCACATGGAGAGAAAGCATTCTCCTAGGCTTTCAAAGAAAGCAAATTGGCCAAGCAATGGCCGTGACTCATCCACATGGCTGACAGTGACAAAGAATCTACAATCTGAGGTATAGGGTCTCAGGATAAATCCTGAGGGCATTTGACTGACATCAGACCCAAAAGCTACAACTCTTGTTGCATAGGTCTTGCTTTATCTTGGTCTTAACCATCTAGCAGAAAAGTATAAAAACCAAGTATAAGAAGTAAAGCCATGGTGTTATGTTGAGCTGTAAAGGACTCAGGTCAACAATTTCTGACACTGCCAGTGAAGTGGAAGACTCAATACTATTATGGACTAGTGGACTCTTTTAGAATATTTTGCTGAGTTCACACACCTATAATATTCAAATGACAGAACTAAACAAAAAAGGGATATATAAATGAATGTCCATTTTGTATCTGTGTATTCAAATGGTTAGGATAAATAGTTGTATTCTCTTAATGAATAGAGGGATTTGTTCTAATAGTGTTTGTAAAAAGGATATCATGTCCGCATCTTGTACAGCAAATAACCACTAGGAAGAGAGTATGCAATGTGCTAATTATTGAAACTGTCTTGGGCTGGTGAGATGGCTCAGTGGTCTAAAGCACCTATTTAGAACAAGCTTAGCAAAGCACGGGGACCACGGTTCAATCCCCCAGCACCACATGCCAGCCAGTCCTGCCCCCTGGTGGGCTGAGCTGGCCACACACACACACAAAAAAAAAAAAAAAAAAAAAAAAAAGAAACTGTCTTACCAATTTTATTTGAAACTGTCTCATTGCTATTTGTTTCTCAACGAAATTATGGAGGAAAAAAAATAACCTTTTTTAAAAATTTCTTTATTTGGCACAGGGTCTCACCCTACAGTCTGGACTCATCGTGATCTGGTCGCCAGCATGGTGCACCAGGGTTCTGGGGCCAGCACAGCATGTGATACTGGGAATCGAGCCCAGGTCCTTGTGCTTGTCAGGCAGGCACTTAGACCACTGAGCTATCTCTCCAGCCCTTAAAAGCCTTTTTTTTTTTTTTTTTTGGTGAGGAACCGGGGATTGAACTCAGGCCCTTGTGCTTGCCAGGCAAGTGCATATTCTACTGCGCCATCTCCCCAGCCCAACCATTTCCTAAACTCATAAACCTATGTAATTTGAACAACATACGTATGCTGTACGGTATTGCAAAATCCCATGATATAATTAGTATTTTTGGAAAACCTGTAAAACAGTGTCTGTGAAAGTTGAATTATGAAATAGTGAGGGATTGCTGTACACCAAAGGATTTTTACATGTTGTCTAATGTTATTTTAGGCCTACTTCAGTCTTTCAGTGATACAATTCTAGACAAATAATCAGCCTAAACACTTCCCTAATTTAGTATGGAAATTCATTACTTGGAATATGTTCAGTTGTAAGTTTTAGGTAAAAAATTATTGACTTACCAGTTGAGAACCAAAAATGTCACAATACTAAATTTGAAATCTTAACAAAATGACAATATCACAAAGTGTTTCTCTTCCTTTAAATTATTTCTACAGTATCTGGTGCCCAGCATATTAAGACAATTTTACCTGGCTATCCACAGTCTTGTCAGGACTTATGGGAGAGCCTTTTGAAACCCTTTTCTTCTTCTTCTTAGGTATGCCTGGAGCTTTTTTCTTTTTCGCGGAGACCTCTTTTTTGTCCGAGACCTCTTTTTTGTCTGAAACCTCTTTTTTCTTAGTAGATAAAACCTTGAAATAAATTTAACAATTTCCACATTGATTAAGTACAGTAGTCCTAATAATATTCTTCCTCCCCCTTTTCACTGCTGGTCATTAAACCCAGGCTTTGTCCATGCCAGGCAGGTACTTTACCATGGGCAGTGTCCCAGCCCTTCCTCTTGTTGGGCACCTATAAACAGTAAGTAATTTTACCTGGAAATCCATTTCTTCTTTTTTAGGGAAGGATCTACAGGGTGTTCAAGGTCTCACTACTAGATCGGACTCATAGTGATCCGCCTGTTTACAGCCTCCCAAGAGATGCCATTACACGTGCGCCACCATGCTCAGTCTCAATTGCTGTCTCAGCACACCCTGGGGGTGGGGCCGGCACGGCAGGCCCGGGGATTGAACCTCTGGTCCTTGCAGGCAAGCAAGCGGTTTAATCCGCTGAGCTATTTTGGCTGGCCCTTAAAATCTTTTTTTTTTTTTTTTTTTCCGAACTGGGGATTGAACTCACGCCCTTACGTTTGCCAGGCAAGTGCTTATTCTACTAAGCCATCGCCCCAGCCCCATGGCCCTTAAAATCTTAAATAAAAAGTTACAAAGGCTAACTAAGCCTACAGGCCCATTCTGGCTAAATTCAAAAGCCTGACAGTCAGCCTGCTTCCCCACTAAGCAACAAAGCTGTACAGGAAAAATACTTGTATGCCTACTACTTTCAGGGTTCATTGCCCCAGTTCCCAAACATCAATATAGTGATCCAGTACCGGTGAAGATTGTAGTTGTTTGTTAAAGGGTTAACAACTAGAAAGTGGGCCAAAGGAAGTTCACTTAGTCATGTAATTTCTGGACTGGACAGAGAGCTCATCCCTTACCAACTAGTTAGCGTCTTGGAAATAAGCTTATAGGTTCTATGAAGCCCAAAAACAATCTCAATATTTAGATAAGAAATGAGACCATTTCCTGTGTTAACACCCTGAAAGATCCACACTCATATATTAAAAAACACATAACTACAGTACCATACAAAGGATCAACTTGTAGTCCTGATATCTACTGATAGCACACAGTAAACCAAACATTTAATTCTGGTAATGTCATCTTTAAATGGTAATCTAAGAGCATTATGCCTTTTGGTTAAACAGTGGCTTAACTTCAGCAATAAAAGTTTTTTCTTAATAACGGAAATAACAGCACCGTCTCCTTTAGGATGAACCCCCAAAGCAATGCTTCAAAAACAACCCACATTTAGGGCTGGGGTATCACTGGGGGCAGGGCATGTGCTCAGCACACAGCACACCTGAGGCCTCGGCCTGGTCTCCAGCACTACAAAGCTCCACCGTCTGCCAAGCAGTGACGAGCACTGGGCTGCTTTATTTATTCCTTAATGGTTTCTTATTTCGTCAAACTTAACTTCAGTTCTTTGGTCCCGTGTTCTCTCAGTTTACAGCCCCTTGACTCAATCACTTGGCAAACTTCAAGTCATCTTGTAAATTCCTGAGGGAGCACCAGTTTCCTTCTCCAAGAGGTCTTCCCTGGGCCCCCTTCACTTGGGAGCCCTGTCCTCATCTCCATCAGTATCTTTTTTTTTTAAAGAAAGTTTTGCTCTGTAGTCCAGGTTCCACTTCAACTTACAATGTAATGCCCACGCTGGGCTAGAACTGAGGGTCATCCTGCCTCAGCCTCCCAGAGTGTTAGGATGACAGGTGGAAAGACCCCACCCTGCCAACGTGTGTGGATGGAGAGCACTGCTCCTGCTCCAGTATGGTCATTTTCTTGTTTTTCTCACCCAGAGCCCCCAGGACACCCTGCTCCCATCCCTCCATCTGTCCCATCCCTAACTCCACAATTCAGTTTAGAATTTTTTTTTTGGTACCAGATATCAAATTGAGGACCCTGTGCTTTCCCAGGAAGGCGCTTATGCTGCTGAGCTATCCCTGGGCCCTCAGACTCCACAATTCAGGAGACAGATGGGTCCAGCTGTCCTCCAAGGCTGGTGGCTCCTCAGGGACTGGGCCAAACCCACAGGGGGCTGCCTGGAGGTTGAAGAGGAGAATGGCTCGATCCCCTGACCTGGAGGGGTCACTGGGTCCTTTATAAACAACCACAAGGACACAGATATGGGGCCAGCTAGACAGCTCAGCAGACTGAAGTGCTTACTTAGGCAGAGCACAGCCGCCAGGGTTCAATCCCTACCTGCTATGCCAGGCAGTGGTGGTGCACACCTGTAATCCCAGTGCTTGGGAGGCTGAAAACAGGAGGATCACTATGCGTCTGATCTACATAGCGAGACCCTGTAGATTCTGTACTAAAAACATTAAAAAAAACCCCAGAAACACAAATACATGTTCTAACTAGTGAGGCACAAAGCTTATAGGTTAAGAAAATCCACCCCAGAATTTCAGAGTATAATACTTACTAATGAAGGAAAATCATAATCAATTCCTCTTGCAATTAATTTCTTCCTGAGTAATTTTTCTTTCTTCTTAAATCGATCTTCCATACGCAACTTTTGTAGAAGTGTCCGATTATGATTATACCGTTTCACTGCAGGGTATATTGGATGATGAAATGGAACTTGCCAGCCTTTAAAAAGATCTTTATGTACCTTTTCTGGTGGCATAAAACGGCCTATTTTTTAAAAATAAAAAAGCTTTAACCAGAGGGTAAGGGAGCATTTCTAATGCTAACTTTAGCTTTCCCTAGTGCCATTTTTCACCTAACCAAATGCTGGGGATTATCTCAGGTGACAACAATAGACTAGCTAATTCTATCCTAATGGAGCTACTAGTTCATACTTGAGAAGCACCTCAGCTCCGAACCTTTAGTTATTTTCTACAAGTCAGACAGGGTCCAGCACCAGTTTGGCTCATGTGAGTGGTTAGCTTTCAGTTCCCCTTGCCCAGCACTTTCTTCTGACAAGAGCCCTGCCTTGTTTTTCCAATAAAGGGGTTTGAACCCAGGGGCTCGGTATAATAGTAAGTACCACTTCACTACATCTTCCTGTCTTTAAAATAAATTTTCTTCTTTGTGAGATGGGGTCTCACTAAGCTATTGCTCAGGATGCTCCTGAACTTGTGATCCTCCTGCTTCAGCCTGCTGAGCAGCTGGATTGCAGGCATAGAGCCCTGTGCCATGCTAAGAGTTGTGATGTTAATGTGAGAATGAACCCATGACTGGTCTTTCCTACAACGAGAAGTGGGGTAGAGAATGTGTAGGCTGCTATGCCAGCCTGTAAACTTGGGCCCCAGGACCCTAAAGGGTAGAGAAGAACAAGACATCTGCTGGGCGTCCAGTCAGTGGCTTTGCTTGCTAATTTCTGATCTGTTGTTGCTCCTCTATGTACTCCACACTTCTCCTGTGTGGAAAGGGTGCAGCAGCGAAGCAGTACTGTACAAGCCAGGCGCTGTGAGACGGAGCAGCCGCACTTCCCCAGGGGTAAGGTCAGGGCACTTACAAACCAGGAGTCTTTCGCCGAAGAGGTAGTTGTTCATCGTTTCAGCTACTATCTTGGCAACATCTTCAGACTGAAACTCCACAAAGGCATAGCCTCTGCTATTTCCTGTCTGCAATGGAATATTCACCACAAAACGCTGACAAATTCTAACATGTCATCAAGCCCCTAAAATGCTATTAATTTAAATGCATGCTAGCCCCTTATCAATTTTATCATATCTTCTTTTTTTGAGTTAGGGTCGGGCTGGGGAGATATCCCAGTAGAATAAGCGCTTGCCTGGCCAGCGCAAGGGCCTGAGTTCAATCCCCGGTTCAGAGACAGACAGACAGACAGACAGACAGACAGACAGACAAGAGTCTTGCTATGCAGTGCAGGTTCACTCTATGTAGCCCAGGCTGGCCTCAAACTCACAGCAAATCCTCTTGCCTCAGCCTCCCAAGTGCTGGAATTACATGCATGCATCACCATGTCTGGCAATTTTATGGCATCTTTAAATCTAACTTCAACTCATGTAATCCAGAGCCATATGGGAAAAAGAGAAAACAAAACAAAACAACAAAAAACCCAAGAGCTGAATGTGCAGCCAGTTTTCAGGTACTCGTGGGATTTTTAGTTACATGGACAATACGTACATGATTACTATGACTGCCATTCGTTATACAGCAAGAGTCCATTAAATAAAGACAACTTTGTACGATTTTTCTGGTCATATATTCATAATACCAAAATAGAGTACAGCATGCTGTACCGTGAAAGTGCAAGTTAGTAAAACCCCCATTTTAGGTGTAAGAAGTAAAAAGCCAGGGACCGTAAGGCATGACTGTACTTCTAGCACCCGGAGTTGAGGTCCTCGGGAATTTGAGCTCAGCCTGGGCTACACAGTGCGTTCAAAGCCTGCCTGAACTACACAAGTGACACCCTATTTCAAACAACCACAATAAAGAAGAAACAAGGCAAACAGAAGCTGTGGTCACTTTCACATTACATCAGGCTACTTTCCAAGCTCAGGGCAAGGGAACACTGCAACAACACAATAAGCAATTTTCTCACCTAGCTTCTTGGTAAGCATACAGATTATGGAACACAAACATGTAGGTTTGGATCCTGGCTCTGACATACACTCAGATACATGGGCAAGTGACGTACAAGCCTGTTTTTCATACCATTAAATGGGGATGATAAGCACTCTCATGGGGTTGCGGTGCCCTGAAGAGTTAAGCCGGTATTTGGGGGTAGGAATAGAAATTGTGATGAGGTTTTGGAGACAAGAAATCGCCTTAGGGCCAGGGAGACAGTTCGTGCACAGCACCTGCCTGGCAAGCACAAGGTCCTGAGTTTTGATTTGTGGTACCAAAAAAAAAAAGCAAAAGTCACATAATTTTAGAGCGAAGCAGCTCATTTCTAGCATGGGCTCTGCCACTCTCAACCCACTTAGACAATTCACACTGAGACCGAGTCTCAGAGCAGTTACCTGAAACGGTGCTTTGATAAAAATTAAGATTCCCCCAAATCCATTTACAATCCCAGCTCTCAAAAGGAAAAGGTGCAGTCAAAGAAATGAGACAGCTGGGGAGATAGCTCAGTAGAATAAGCGCCTGCCTGGCAAGTGCAATGTTCTGAGTTCAATCCCCAGTACCAAAAAAAAAAAAAAAAAAAAAGAAATGAGACAGCCAACTCAACGTCTTACCACCAATAAACTAAGATAAATCTTTCAAAAAGTGATTCAAAAACACAGGCCATGTCAAAAACAATCCCTCCAACTAACCAGTACCCTGCAGTCCTAGAATGCTGGAAGTACCAGGAGAAGGGAAGGCTTTTACTATGTGACAATGCTGGAAATGTTTGATGTGAGTGCATCTCAATGAACGGGCTTCTATATGACAGCTGGTCTAAAGTTTTCAGTCAATGTCAAGAAAAATTAAATGATTAGGGAGAAAAGGACAAGGAGACTGCTGCAAATTGGGCTGAAGAGCCGTAACAACTAAGTAAAATGTGTGCACCTAAACAGATTCCAGAGCCAGGCATGGTGGCACACGCCTGTGATCCCAGCAACTAGGAGGTGGAGGCAGGAGGATCACTGGGAGTTGGCGGTCAGCCTGGGCCACACAGTGAGTTCACTGAACTACACAGTGGCACTGGAAAAGAAAAAAAAGATCCCAGAATGGGCACGCAACAGCAACAACAACAACAAAAAAGCTAAAGACAGTTCTGAGACCAAAGCAATGTGAACCCCATATGTTATATACTACTATATTCTTGTTATATAGGACTATGTCCTTGTTTTGAGATTTATAGCATTTACAAAATAAAGTCCTACCAAAGTCAGAAAAATTTTGTCAAAGACAAAAAGGGCAAAAGATCTGAATAGATGATTCACAGGAGGGGGAATTCCAAAAGCTGCTTTGCCTATCATATTCAACTTCACTAAGAGTAATGCAGATAGAAACAGCACAGCTTATTCTAGACTCAGGGACCCTGCGGCTATGCCTCTGAGCAGCATTTTTCAAACTCAAAGCATCTTTTGGAGTAATGAAATCAGTTTAGTAAATGAGACCCCCCCCCCCGCCCCCTGCAGTATGGGGAATCAAATTGAGGACCTTGTGTTTGCCAGGCAGGCACTTATGTAGCATGCTGAGCTATTTAAATCAAAATGATTAGACAAAGCCAGGAGTGGTGTGCATGCCTGTAGTCCCAGCATTTGGGCATTGCAGTAGGAGGATGGCTTCAAGTTAGAAGCCACCCCAGGTTACAGAGTGAGTTCAAGGCCAGCCTGAAGTGCTGAGTGAAACCCTGTCTTAAAAAGATCAAAGAAGGGGCCTGGGAGATGGCTCAGTGAAATAAGCGCTTCCCTGGCAAGCACAGGCCCTGAGTTCAATCCCCAGTTGGGGGTTGGGAGTTGGGAGTTGGGGGTTGGGGGTTGGGGATCAAAGAACAAAAACAAAACCGTTCCCAACCCCCCTCCAAAACATCAGACAAGTATTACCTCATATGACTTTATTTATATACATATGGACCTATGCTAGCTTGTGCTATGAAACATTCCTTACTGTCAACCAAGGTCTGAATCATACTACTCTAGCAAATTTTGTTTCAACTACACACAGAACGTCTGTAACAGCCTACAAAACAACAACAAAAAAACCCAAACCTGTAAAAAATCTTTATAATGTTCAATACGACAGATAAACATTAAGCAAAGAAGCACAATGACAATGAATGCACCAGTTACAGGGATAAAGGTCAAAACAGATTACTGAATAAAAAAAAAGCTAAGTTACGAATGATATCATACGACTTTAGACAAATACAGACGTATAAATGTTTAGTAAAGTTAAAAATATACACAGCAAGAAAATACTGAACTGGGGGGTGAAGATGACTGGAGAACAGTACAAAGGGTGCCCACCCCCATTGTACCCTTAGTCTCTCTCATCTACAGAAGTAACCACTGCAAGTTGATAAATGGGGAAAGGGAAGCATCAATACAGGGACAACATACTACTGTGGTTCCTGTGGTTACAAGGGAAGAAATAGCAACACTTTAAATTTGAAATGCCCCTCAATACGTGTTAGAGAGCCTACCATTTAAAACCTGTCATTTTTTTTTTTCTTGAGAGGGGGAGACAGGGTCTCAACTTTTGTAGTTCAGGCTGGCCTCAAATTTGGGGTGTTCCTTCTGCCTAAGTCTCCAGAATGCTAAGATTATAGGCATGCACTACCAGGCTCAGCTAAAATCTGTGGTTTTAGGACAAGTAGCTAATGGCAGAAACATACTCAATTCCTTCATATTTAAATTAAATGTAAAAAATTTAACTTTACTATATGTAAGTCAGTATATTTTTTCAACAGAAAAAAACAAGACAAACAATAGATACCTATGGCTCTGGAGCCAATAGACGCACGTGGGAATTAAATGGGCCACTCCTCTGTTCCTACAATAGGGCACATTCCTACATTATTCATTAGGAGGTAGGTACTATAAAACACTAACATTTCCAGAAAACTGGTGCTGTGCCTTTTACTCACACGTCCCAGATTTTGAAATGGAAACATGGAGACCACATAACTTACCCATGGACAGCCACACAACTAGTAGCTACACAGCCAGGCCTCACCCTACATAGTCCTGCTCCAGTCCTTTACTATCACTACACAATGTTTTCTCGTAGGAGGGATACTACTACCAGAAACTAATACAAGATGATGTACAGACCTGGAGCTCCAACTAAAGTTCATTTCGTCCTGGGCTCAGCAGTCACAGGATAAATATGATCCATTATGAGGGTATCAATACATTCCTTTAGTTAAAAAAAAAATACACATTTTGCTTTGGATGGTCTTTCTGATTCTAAACCTTAGCTCATTCCTTTCCCAAACAAAACGTGATAATCAATAGCATGTGAACATATTCTGCGTCCTCCACACTTGAAAATCAAAACGATCAAGTTTGGCTTACTAAAATCTTACCCTTTTGCTTCTGGACAGTCTGAATCTTGTAATACTGCCAAACTGGGAGAAATATGCTTTGATCTGGGATTCAAAAAGTACCGGAGGTAGGTGGCCCACAAAGATTACTCCGGGTGTAAGTTCTTCTTGCTTTTTTTGCTGACAATATAAAAGACCAGATAAAGGAACACTTTTAAAATACAGAAATCACACGGCAGCAGAACTTTCAGAATCCCAACTTCTGTGCTGGTGAGATGGTTCAGTGGTCTAAAGCACCTACTTAGAACAAGCTTAGCAAAGCACAGGGTCCACGGTTCAATCCCCCAGCACCACATGCCAGCCAGCCCCGCCCCCTGGTGGGCTGAGCTGGCCACACACAAACACACACACAAATAAAATTAAAAAAAAAGAAAATAAGTTTCCTTATTAAAAAAAAAAAAAAGGAATCCCAACTTCTTGCTCCAAGAACTTATCACAGCATAACTTTAAAATGAGCTGTTTGCTGTCCATCTCCCCACAAGGACAATCATCAATGAGTCACCTCCTCAGGCTACCGTTCGGGCATCAGCCGCTAGTACCTGCTCAAGATCTGCACGCTTAGTTGTCAACGGCTAAGTAAATAAATCTTAGCACGCCGCTAAATCTTCTGTCTGGAGAGTTCAACATACACGTGCCCTTTAGCTCTCTGGGAGGATCACGGTTTACATTCAATCGAATAAAATTCAAGAAGCTTGTTAATAACCTTCACAATGTTGTCACACTCACCTTTTGTCATCAGAACATGTTTTCCAGTGTAGTTTCACAATAAAAACCCAACAAAATATAAACGTGATGGTGGGAACCCTCGACAGCAAATGGACCTTCACGATACACGCCTGCTCCACGCAGGTCTTAAGCTCCCCAGCAGGAGCACCGCAGGCGTGCTGGCAGTAAGAGGCACTAGCCTGCGGCTTGGGGGCGCCGTCCTCCCGGCTCCCGGGTCTCCACCTGCCTGCGACAGCCCGCACCTCCCTCTTGTTTTCCATGCTGGGACCTTACAGTTAACAAGGCCAAACGTCACCGTGCAGCGTCCAAGCCCCTCGCCAGCCAGTCTCCCCAGCTCCCGAGGCCCGCCCCACACTCAGTCTCCGACGTCGTGCGCGGCCGCGGAGAAAGCCGGGCGCCCGTTCGCCCGGAACCGCGCGTTCGGGGAGACTGCGGCCCCCCCGCCGTCCAGGCCTCACCTGGGTCACGCGACGCCGAACCTGCGCCACCTCCTTCTGGAACTGCGCATCTTCCTGCGGGTTCAGAGACAGAATGGGGGCGGCGGGCCCAGAGAATGCCGCCATGCTGAAGGTGGCCCGGCTCTCAGCTCCACGCGGTGGTCCTGGAAACGCTCACGCGCTCGCCGCTTCCGGGAGGCGGAAGTAGAGGCGGGAGGGGGCGTGGCGAGCGCGGGGGCGTGGCGAGCCCGGGGGCGTGGCAGAAAGGTACGGAGCGCCGCGCGGCCCTGGCGCGTGCGAGCTTGCGCGTTCCGTGCCGTCGGGCTTCTGCGCCCTGCTCTCCGGTAGTCCGTTTATCAGGATACAATGTCCAAAACAATTGTGTTCCAAACCGAGTTTAAAAATGAACTCTGGGGCTGGTGAGATGGCTCAGTGGTCTAAAGCACCTACTTAGAACAAGCTCAGCAAAGCACAGGGACCGCGGTTCGATCTCCCAGCACCACATGCCAGCCAGCCCCGCCCCCTGGTGGGCTGAGATGCCCCCCCCACATAAATAAATTTAAAAATTAAAAAAAAAATGAACTCTGGAGCACTACTTGGGTCCTGACATCTTGCTATTCATTCTTTCATTGGTCTGGTATGTCCTTTTCTCACTCACCTGTTTTTGTTTTTTTTTTCTTTTTTAGGCCGCATCTCCAGCTTGCCGAGGCCGACCTAGAACCTGCGGCCTTGCCTCAGCGTCCGAGGAGCTTGCGTTACAGGCGCGTGCCACTGCTCCCGGTCTGGGTGTTTTGTTTTTGAGAAAGGGTTTCACTGTGTAGCCCTAGCTGAGAACAAGATCACTCTGATCTTCCTTATCATGCCTTAAAGAAAGAACATCGCCGCAGAAGGAAACCTGTATAAACTTTGTCGAACCACCAAGTCCCTCCGGGTCGTCACACTTGCACAATTTACCTCTGTCTGAGCTGGCGTATGTTTGCCTCTATACCTTTGTGTCCTGTCCAACATACAGTTTCTACTAAGTAAACTTGCATGCTTTTCTCCTTTTTACGTCGATGTAATTTTCAGACTCAGTTGAAACAGACAAACAGAAAAACCTATCTGGGCAGAAGTAAAATTTTGTCTCCCCTACAAAATGTCTCCAGAGGCAGGGCTGTTCATCGGAAATGTGATGGGGTCTTGGGAGACAGCAAAAACTGAAATACTACCCTAAGCAAGAAATTGTAGGTGAAAAATAGAAAATTGACTCAAAGAAATTAAATTGTAAGTTAGCTGAACGTACAAAATATAATTTTAAGAATTACAACTTTTTCCCCCTAGCTTCCACTTGAGCAGCTGTATAAACCCTTAAGTGTAACAGTGGAACTAAAGAGAAAATTTGGAATTATTTTATTTTATTATTTGTTGTTACTTTGAGACAGGGCCTTACTATGTAGTTTAGGTCGGGCTTGAACTCATGCAGTCCACACAGACCATGAATTTGTGGTGATCATCCTGTCCCAGCTTCCCCAGTGCTGGGATTATAGGAATGTGCCACCATGTGTGGCTTAAATTTATTTATTTATTTATTTATTTATTTAGTATTTTAGGGAAGGGTCTACAGGGTCTCACTACTAGATCGGACTCGTAGTGATCAGCCCGTTTACAGCCTCTCAAGAGCTGGGATTACAGGCGTGTGCCCAGTAATCCACGCCCAGTCTCCATGGCTGTCTCAGTGCACCCCGGGAGCGGGGCCAGCACGGCAGGCTTGAGGATGGAACTCCCCAGCCCCTGCGCCGGTTTGCAGGCGCTTTAATCCGCTGAGCTATTCGGCCCTTAAATTTATTTTATTTTATTTTATTTTATTTTATTTTATTTTTTATTTATTATTTTTTTGTTTTCTTCATAATTTTATTGAGAAACAAATAGCAATGAGACAGTTTCAAATCAA